GGAATTCTCAACTAGTTTCAAGTTCGCGTTAACTCATTGTTCTCATTAATACATTTTGGTTAGTGACGCTTTGCATAAGAACCATTTTTTAAAAGTATTTATAAATGGATGTAGGACACTTTAGAAAGTAAGATTTTTTAACCACTAATTGTCTTACTTTTTCGGTTCTAATTATGTATAGTTGTCAGTAAGATAAGCTATACTAATCACTGATTGAGGCATATTTCTAGAACTGATTGGTTCATGGGTCGTAACTGCATTAAGCGCAACAGTTTTCAAGTGGTTAGATAGTAAAAGTGAACATAAAGTGGCACTTGGTTATTATGAGGTTGTGCAAGATATTATTACGTCTCCTTTAGCCATTCCTTGCCTTCCGAGTGGAGCATAGAGCTGCAAGCCTTTGAAGCTTCAGCAGCGATGGAGTCGCCAGCCTCACACTCAAACTTCCATCTTTTCTGGACCTAATGTCGGCTAGTAAACTAAACGAGGTTTAGGGATCGGAGTTGAACCCCGTACCAGACTGGCGAACATTCCACCATTCATTAAACTCCCGATGCACAAAATCTGAATACATTTTATTCGTTTGGTCACGACTGGTAGTGAGATTCAAAGTGTACATTTTGCTCTGTTTTTGATTCTTAAGTTGGATGGCCCCTTAATCCCAGTGGATTGTGTCCCCACTGAGACCTTGAACGTACCATCTACTGTTTTAAAAGTGAAATCGCCGATCACTAGGCTGCTTAGCCACATAGCCTTTTCAAAGGTTACGAATATGTCAGCTAAATGTCTAGTCTGTGTGAAATGAATTCAGTATTTGAAATTTGTAGATCAAAGTTCCATATTAGAAATTTCTAGCTTATACTGTCTATTTAACAAAAGTTTACTTGTGATAAAACAAGAACTGTCTTGAAACGACATTCGATATGATATCTGATATACAACACGTGCACTACTATATACCACCTGTACTCACTTTCAGAAAGATTTTAAATGCTACTTGAAAGTACTGAAGTATTTCCACTACTGAAAACTATTTTTCAGGATATTTGTACGGAGTTGAGATTCTTTAAATCTTCTTAATACTCTGCTGGCATTACTAATCATACCCTCTTAACAAGGTGATGACATAGTGTGAAATTCATTTGTATATTCAAGCCTTATTTTAAGTAATTTACAGGATACTATGCAATCGTATTGTATCTGTGTCTGAAACTTATTAATTAAATGGGCATGATTAGTAAGTAATGTTTTGTAGGTCGTTTCAAAGTTGTATTGCTGTTGGTATTCCATTGAAGTACACTAAATTATGAACGAGATAGATGTGGGACACTATCCTCCAAATGTATTTGAATAACTTAGTAAAATACTGCATACTGTAGTACATTTTCCTCATTGGATTGCTTGTTGGCGTATGCATTGAGCTTCCAGCCAATGAGTTACGGGCTGGAGTCGCGCTGCATCTATTTAAGCCTGGACAACTGGGTAGTACAGTACCGACAACCGTCATACGATAAATGTGGTTCATAGCTTAGCAAATAGAAAAATCTGTTCTGAATGGTTGAGTTTACACATCTGAAAGCCTGTCTCTCATATACTTTTATCACATACAAATCTTAGTCTCCATAGCACGTGACGTCATTTAGAAAAAAGTCGCGTAACTTTGTACCTAATGTGTGTGCGTAGGTTACACATTTGTCAATACCTTTCAATGTGAATATTACATGCAGGTATACTACTTCCTCTGATATCTTCACTATTACCTTTTGCTGTTTATCTCTATCGTCCCGTTACGAGGGGAACATAGAGCTTCCAGTTTTGAAGTTTCAATAGCGGAGCTCATTTTCTTCTCGCGGTGAAATTGTTAGCCCCACGCTCAGCTTTTCCTATTTCCCGAGTTCCCCTGCGGCTAGTAGACTGGGTGAGGTGTAGAAGTGAGTGAACCCGAAGTACCTGTTTAGTTGGCGAACATTCTGTCAGTGAACCATCGATGTTGTCTATTTCTTAAAAAAAATATAATACCAGATATTTCTGATGATTTCAGTTTCACTTGTCAAAAGTAGGCAAGGAACAGTTCTACTGAGCGGGTTTACAATAAAACACTTAACAACAAAAGAAAATACTAAGCAGCTTATTACTTGTATTTAAGAATTTTGAGAGTATATTACACTACTCATCATCTGTTATCAATCAATTGTTCATCATGGGATAAGACTGATTTTGTAAGGTGTTTTGGCACTTGATTAAAAAATTCTAGATTCTTTTTCAACTTTTTAGTATGATATGCACTGTTGTTCATTAAAAATGTCGATGTACGTCGGTACTTCAGTGGTTAGGTCGCTCGCCAATCATGCACATAGTCCGTGATTCGTCTACTTTGCTAGCTGGCAGTAAAATCGAAAAATTGGGTGGTTAGACGTGAGGCTAGTGACTTCACCTCGTAGAAACAACACCACAGCTACTGAAACTTCAAGATTTTAAGCCTGCAGCTCTGTCTTCCACTTGGAACGTTGATAAGAGTCCTCATACAGAAATAAGTTAGGCATTCATTACATAAGCAGCTGTTTCTTTTCTTGCACTTTTTCCTCTCTCTTTTCATTCTCTTCTCTGGGAGCTATTCGGCTGGCTAACTTTTAATGTATGTTTAGCAGTAATAATCATTGTTTTCAAAGTATATCCTCTTCACCTATGTGTTGAAAAATACATTTAATCGGTTGAATCTGATGTATTATTCGTATGTTATCTTGGCATATGAGCTATATTTATTGTTTATGAATCATTTAGGGATAGTTTGGTAATAATAGGTGCTTGCACTAAAGGTATATATCCAATTAATTTATCTTCATGCGTAAATTTGATCTCCGTCTTATCTACTGACGATTAGATAGTTGAATAATAATACATCTGTCATCGTAAAATGGGTTTAGCGCGCCTACTCTAGTATAGATACGTCTTTTTGGTTGATAACTTGTCTCAGTATTACAATCATTTGTGCTGAATTTCTGTTTTCGACAAATTAATATCTGAACAGAAAGTTTATTGCGGGTACTTTTTGTTCAAGTGCCTAGTTAGCTAGTAGACCGTTAAGCGCAAAGTGTTTTATGTAGAAGGTTATTAACCATACGTATTGTGCGACAGCTGATGATACCACCTACTTGTTCGAAACTGAAGTAGGCGGAGTAGGATTATAACTTTGGACCCGGTGTTTGAAAACTGAGAGCTTAAACCAAATGAGCCACGTCTCTAGCTACCTAATACAATCTTGTGCGGATCCTATGTTATCCCACATGCTCATGTAAGGTTACTCTAACAAATTGTCTTTTAACAGTATACTGCAAAATCTAGAATTTTAAAACACTTAATCTTTCCGTTAATTCTCTGTTTGAAAATGTAGATCTTATTGTCTACCTATATTTACATATCTTTCCATTTTTCATGATAACTAATTCTTCCTAACTGTTGGTTTTCAACTATAAATTGTACATACTTGTGTAGATTTACTCTTTCCTCATTGTAATACATACCGTTGTTCAAAATAAAATAAGTTTCTGTTGGCATTAGAGACTTTTATTATCTATCGTATTGTCAAGCTTACTGTTCAATAATTGCTGGTATAACATTTCTTACTTTAAAAATAATCTGGATATTTACGTTCGATCACTTCCTAGGTTTCCAAACGCTTTCACACTGATCTATACTTCTATAGACCATCATCTGACCACATGGAGTTGGGTTGTTGGGTGTATGGATTACTTCACTTACCTGGGAAGTTACACCAACCTTGATGGGTTGATAGCAGGCAAAATATAGGTGTGCACAAATAATGGCTTATATATCTTATGCCGAATTGTGCCATTTATGACGCTTATGTCTGTCTCACTGAATGTTAAATATGTTCCACAGAAATACGCTCTCTTCTACTCTGTGACTATAAAATATGACTACTGAAGGTCTAAAGTTTACGAAGGGTGTTAGTATTTGACTACCGTTGTCTTTGTAGCAGGGGCGCTGTTTAGTAGAACAGATGTCGACTTCTAGGCAAGACGGAAAATTCACTCAGTAGGGTTATAAGTTACAAGTTTGATGAGAAGCTAACAGTAGTTACAAAAACCACTGGGAAACCAGGATGTGCTGGACATCTGTTTAGTCTTAATTTTGAACTCTTCAGCAATACATACCCACTGGGGGCAAGTTGTGATCGAACATGGGACCGATCAAATCCCTGATAATCAACTCTTAAAAATTAATCTGATACTGACTAGCAACTGGATGTATGCACGAAGTTACAGGCGTTCTGATGAGTATTGGTGACCAGTGGAGTCTGCCAAATTGGCTAGGATAACAGTAACTCGCCGATGACATTGGCTGATGGTTGTGCTACATATATCGCGAATTGGCGGAGGTCGGAATTCATGGGCCATTAGATTGGGTCTTGGTAGCTGACTGGTCTACGAGCTGGCCTTGTAACCAAAAGGTCATGGGTTCGTACTCCGGTGGCTGCGTTACTGCTAAGGAGTCCTAAACTGGGACGAAATAGCTGTCTAGTACTCCATGGTTTTCCAATGGTTCTCTAACTGATGTCAACTGGAGGTCAAAAATGTAACCAATCAAATCCCTGCAAACCAGCACTTGAGAGTTGAGGAAGATCGAGACATTCGCTACACATACCCACCTACTACCTATCTATCTGAACTAGCTATGTTAGTAGAATTAAGTTCAGTTTTAACAGAAATAAATGTTACAACAACTCAGTAATTCACTGACTCTTGGTCTGGGCTGCTTAAATTAACTGAAAAGAAGGAGGAGGATAAGAACGCTTGAGGTTTTTTGTGGGGGTGGGGGGGGGCGACAGGTTTTCATCCTAAGAAGAAGCATTTGAACGTTAAAATCATGTACACGTTCGTAGGAAAAAAAACTGTATACTCAAAAGAAATACTCATATATTTTATTTAACCAAGAATGTTAACTTTTTTTGTTATAAATATATATAGTAGGTAACAGATATGGTAACGCATAGATTAAGTTTTATTACAGGTCTGTCAACAAACGATTGGTTATCGTGTGATTTTGAAGCCAATAATTCCTGTGAATGGATTGACGATGCAAATAATTGGCTTGCTAATTGGCGTCCAACTTCTCAGGTTATTAAAGAAGGTCGAATGAAAGGAAAACATCGATCAGTACTGTGTACTCAAATAAACTCTCGTACACGATCACGTTTACGTAATCAACTGGGTCATTCATCTGTTTCATTGAAAAAAAATAATTTGGTTGTTCGAATCATTAGTCCACCAGTTACCACCTTAGACAATTATAAGTGTTTAAAGCTTAATTATCTGTTTGAAAATGCGCCTCAATCTTCTTCAAGTGGTTTCACATTAAATTTACTACGTCGTTCTGAGGGGTAAGGCTTTTTAGCATATTCCTCTAAGAGAGTAGATGGGTAACTACAGGCTTATTTGATTCATATGTTATCTATCACACTTGATTACACCAGTATTCTGTAATATTTCAAAATCACGGAAACCTAAAAGATATTTTATTTTAACTTGATAGCTTACAATGGTAATCATCAATCCGTTGAACCTATTCATCATTGTTCATTTGAACATAATTTATGTGGATGGACAAATGATCAGAGTAGTTGGGAAGGACACTGGGAGTTAACTGCGCTCAAAATTCCATCGACTAATGCATCCTGTTTTCGTATCAATCAAAAATCGCCTATAAGCTTGAAAAACACTTGGTCTGTTAAACGCAAAACTTCTCTCCTAGATAAACCAACTTCTGCATTAAATCCTAACAGGCTTATCAGTGCAAAATTATGGAGTCCTCTTATTCAACCTGACGACCAACTTCATTGTCTTGTACTTACCTATAAAATTGACATAATACCATCTGTGGTGGTGACATCTAAGATCGGGTTGTCTTCCAATCAAATGAAACAACAACAACAACGACCTTCTCTCTCTCTGTTACGACGTCAACAAGGGTAGGCTGATAACCGGAGAATATTTACTAAGTGTTTTTCTCGGAAAATGGGTCTATATGTCTTGTAATCAACAGTGTTGACCAGAGTACACCATTAATTCATCACTCCATTTGTTTCGAGTCTTTTTCTTATTAATGTATTTGAAAATTATCTAAGTTCTCTTTGTAAATCGTCGGTGTATATGTGTGTGCTGCATTATATATCCGGCTTTCTTTTCTAGCTATTGATCCGGTATATTTCTGTCCATTTACGAAAAATTTATGCGATTGGACTAATGATCCTAACAGTTGGAAAAATCAATGGTCTATTATTGAAGAACCAAGAACCGAGAATTTTCAAACAGACGGAGAATTTGAATCTAAGCGCACTGAATCTTACTGTTGTCTAACATCAACTGTATCTCCAGGATCAGATAGTTCAAAGAGTGAAGTCAGTTATTCTCCGTGGATTGTTCAACCTCGTCTCTTATCTAACCTACAAGACAGGATTGATAATAAGCCTATACACTCAAGACTGTGGAGCGCATCAATTCCAGCTGAACTAGGATTAAAGTGTATGAAATTTGTATACTTTATACAACTGCATTCACGAAGTACTTCTCAAAGTTCAAATGTTCACCTCCTTGATTCAAATGAGAAAGTTTCATTGAGTGTTTTGCAAAGAAGAGAAGGGTGAATAATTTTTAAAATTTAGTCAATGATATATCTACCTTACATACCTACATTATTATTATTATTTTTTGTACACATTAAAATCTTTCACTACATTAGGACCATGTTACCTTTCTTATATCTTCTCTGCTTCATAGCTGATATTCCTGTCAAACCGATATATGTATGCACATTCAATGGAAATCTTTGTGGATGGATGAATGATATGAATATTTGGAAATATCAATGGAAATTAGTAACAAATTCGAAACTGTCTACTGACGGTAAACAACAACAGCCTACAAGTAGTAGTATACTATGTATGAATGCAAAGCAAGCGATACAAGAAAATTGGATTAACAGTTTCTCATCATCTAGTCTAATTACAAGTCAGTCCAATTCTGAGTTGAATAAACCAGCTCAAGCGAGGCTATGGAGTCCTCCAATACAAGCTGTACACAAACTACGCTGTCTCCAGTTTGTGTATCAAATTGATGTAGGACTGAAACACGGGGATTCAACTAGACGTCTAAAGGAAAACCCGACACTGGCTCTATTACGTCGTCAAGAAGGGTGATTATATCCATCTTTGAATTTCTCAATGCTTTTTTTCTCTCTTTCTTTATAACCTCATTTTTCACTCTCAATGATAAAAAGAATGACCACACTATCGATCATTGGAGATAATATCTCACTTTATATATGCCCCTGAAAACGACTCAATCATCGGTGTTAGTTTTGCGTCATACCATTTCAGCAAAATGAAAATTTTTATAATCACACGTCATCTGCGTCAAATAAACTGCATTAGCTTCTTCTTCTTCTTCGCCAGCGAATTAATACAAGCGTATTTATTTATTGCTTTCTGAATTCAGCCAATACGAATGCGGATATTCTTCTCTGTCGTGGTGGATTTGAACACAATGAATACTGTAGTTGGGTTGTTGATCCAAACGATTGGGGAAGATTTCGATGGAAAATGGACAATTTACCGCTGATAAATAATAATAATAACAATGATAAGGATGAAAATCAAATCGGATCAAGACGCGCCATGTGTTTGCATAGATCACCAACGATTAGAAGCTCTGAAACACTGACCTCACGTTTATGGAGTCCATCTGTTGGCATTATAGATGAATCTTCAGTGGAGTACGATGCAGAAAATTCAATGAATCCAACAGCTGAATATCAACCCCGCTGTGTTTCCTTTTCATTTCGTTTCTTTTATCCTCCTGTTGAACATTTTCATGTAGTGGATACGGCAGTTGTTCAGACCCCGAGTCTTTCTGTATTGAAACGTCAGAGGGGGTGAGATTAAACTTCGTAACATTTTCGTTTCACTTCTTTTCGGAATAAAATGGGTTTCTAGTGTGTGTTTAATGATGCTCACGAACAAAACTCTTGATTACTAATCAACCAATTCACCTAATCGTATTTTCAGCTGATCAACTACCGATTCAAGCCTACGGTTATGCTGCAGATTCTGATATGGATTTAAATTGTGAATTCCATGAATCAACATGCAATTGGTCAAACGATCCAAACAATTGGCCGATAAATTGGCGAATAAGTGCAATGAATCACAAGGAAGCGTTATCAAAAAGTGATGTAGCGCTGACTGAGGAGAAAACTTCGATTTGTCTAACCATCGGAATGCTGTCTGCTCCGCGTCAAGAGTTCAATTATGACATCACCGCTCGTTTGTTCAGTCCAATCGTCTCAGTTATGAAACAGCCGAGTTGTTTACAACTTACATATAATGTCCAGTTGAATTCAATATCACCGAGAGAATTCCTGTCGACTGGTAGAGGTGTAGATGGATACACTGGTGATAAAAGACCTGTATTATCGCTTTTGCGTCGACAAATGGGGTGAACTAATGGGTTGAAAAACTGATTGGTGTTCACAATGGTTTGATGAGTTTGTTACACCTTTTGACTAACTTCTTGGAATTTGCGACTTCCGATGAAATAGTTAGATTGGTGTGCTTTGTATCAAGGTGGATTCGGAGATGCGAGGTGGTCTCTTCATTCATCAGGTGACAAGAATGTCAGTGTTTCGTGCCGAAGGTGTTTATATCTAACCCACTTTGTGAAGAAGTTCTTTATTTCCGAGCTCAGTGTAGCAAAAACTATTCCCGACTATGGCAATCGTTTCTATGTGCATATTTGCTGTTGTTTAGTAAAGCATCTCCAAGAAAAGTCACTCGTTGTTTCATGAGCTATGTAATTAATTTTCTCTGAAAATCGAATTGGCTCTGCTTCGTTTACATCCTTCGTTATATGCATTTTTTGTAAGGCTTAAATACGCCGTATAAATTTCGAGTTGTACTCATAAATATCCTGTAATAGCATCGATCAAATAGCTGCCTGTTTATTCTCAAGGCAAATCATTAAAGCTTTGTCAAATTTACTTATTACTTTTTATATATTCAGCAAATTCAAATGTGGATATACTTCAATGTCATGGAGGATCTACTGATCATGGTGACAACTGCAGTTGGCTTGTTGATCAGAACGACTGGGGAAGATTTCGATGGAAAATGATCAATTTACCATTGATGAATAATAATGAAAAGGATGATAGTCAAATCGGATCAAGGCGCGCTATGTGTTTGCATAGATCACCAACGATTAGAAGCTCTGAAACACTGACCTCACGTTTATGGAGTCCATCTGTTGGTGTTGTGGATGAATCTTCAGTGGAGTACGATGCGGAAAATTCAATGAATCCAACAGCTGAATATCAGCCCCGCTGTGTTTCCTTTTCATTTCGTTTCTTTTATCCTCCTGTCGAACACTTTGATGTAGTGGATACGTCAGTCGTTCAGACCCCGAGTCTTTCTGTATTGAAGCGTCAGAGGGGGTGAGATTAAACTTCTTAAGATTTACGTTTAAATCTCATAATAATTTCGGGTAGCTTTGGAAACCGTTTTGTATTTTTTTCCCCGCGTTCAATATTCTATCAATCTGTTCACTTTTATATGCATCACTTTAAGGTGAACGGTCAAAAATGTCGTCGTTGAATTGCAACTTCTCTCAACCTTGTCAATGGTCAATGGATCAGAATGATTGGGGTCAGTCAAGATGGGAAAAAGAGGCTTTATCTTCAAAAGAAACACACTCTCATCGTCTTGCAGAAAATGTTTTATGCTTTCGTACGCCTAAACAAAACGATTTTATTGAAGATATGTATGTAGCACGTCTTTGGAGTCCACCAATCAGTTCTGTATCCTACAAATCTCACCATCAATACATTTCACCTCCTAAATGTCTATCATTTGCCTATCATATCTTCAGTGGTTCTCGTAAAGTACCAGTGAAGGAAGTTCCAAGTCTTGCTCTACTCAGGCGTCAACGAGGGTATGATTTTATGGATTATTGTAAACGTTGTTGAGTGGTTACTTTTGGAAGTGATGAAAGTTTTGGTGGCTTATTTGGAGTTTCTGAACTTCTCAGCTGTCTATTGGCTGTATTGGTTTTTTATTCTGAAGTTGTACATTTCCTGTCCTTTTACCTTTTTTCATTTCTATAAAACTTCTTTCTTCCTATCCACTCCTATTAATAATCATTATTCTTATGACCATCTAGGCGTTTAACTCCATGGGAATCCTCTGTTGAACTTAAAACAATTACCAACTGACTAAGGCTTTAGTTTCATTCAAACACTGTCGAGTTAATTAATTGATTCTATTCTAACTAAAATACAGACTTGGTACATTAAGATCACCAAGGGATGTGCCAGACAAAATCTTGTAGTTTGTACCAGGACTGGATGCTCAGACTGGATAGTTGTCATAAGGCTTCACCCTCAGAGCCTATGACTTGAAGTCTGTTCCACAAAGCAGTGGAGCAGCGTCAAGAGCTCCGTTCCTGTGGTTAGCAGTAACAAGAACAGGTCCTTATGCCACTCGATCTTTTCAGATTCAGGAGCCTTATACTCCATAAGTTTGAAATTAGGGTTGTGCAGCTCCCCTAGGTAGACCTGCATGTCCGTCAGTGCGATTGTAAGTGCCAGACGTTTGCATTCACCCTTTTACTTTTGTAGGGAATACCCACGCCGCGTTCTTTGTTCTAACTGCTTTGAGTAGAGGAGATTAAGAATCTAAGGTTTAAATAACTGAAAGTTTCCTTTCCCTTACATTTAAGCTAAATGTCATGATTTTAATTGCAAAGCTTTTTATGATTCTTCGGTTTGTACATTATCTCAGAAGCTTTCATTATCTAAAGTCAAACTATACTATGGAATATGAGCAAACTGTGTCGATGTGACACATTATCTTGAGTCGTCGACTTTCAGTCCATTGGTCGTAGACTCAAGCCCCACTTCACTTACTTCAGCTTGGACAACTGAGTAGTATATTTGTTCCTCACACAATAAATGTGACACATGAGGAATCTGTTTTGGGTAACTCAGTTCTAACCAACTAACCATTGTGCGTTGGTGGTCGAGTGGTAGAATGCCATACAACCATGTATCTGGTTCGAGGTTCGATTCCCGGCTAGCGCACTTCTAAACCTTACCTAGTTTACCAGCTGATAGTAAGCCTGCCTAAAGAGGAAAGGTTAAGCGTGGGACTAAGAAATTCACCCCATGAAAGAGGTAACACCACTGTCTTTAAAATTTCAAAGCTCAAGTTCGAAGTCCTGTGTTACATTACTCGGAATGCAAAGAAATGAAAAAACAAACTAACTATGGGATATTTATTTATTTATTCGAACTGAGTGAAACACAGAATCTAACTGTACTAATAATGGAGTAGACAGTTGTGAGTCATTTACAGACCGTCTATTGGAATTAACACGGGCCAGGTTCGAACCCCAGTGGTTGCGTACTGCCGATGGTTCCCAAACTAGGATGAAACATCTGTCCAGTACTCCCTGGTTTTCAGTGGTTCTCTAACTGATATCAATCCGTGGTCAAACTCGTAAAAACAAACCAATAGATGCACCGTACAAAAGTAATAAAACGACAATATCCAGAAAAAGAAAGGGAATAATTGAAGAGCGGGACCATGAAAAGAGACAAACCTACTTATCAATTGCATTCAAGCAACACTCATCACTCTACGTTACTTTCAAAAAGAGAGGAAAGGAGGGGATTGCAACATATTCACCGTTGATTACGATTCTCATTCATGTCTAGTAGAATTTTCCGACCACTGATTCAGTTTGTTTCTTGGATCCCCATCCAGGCAATCGTGATGCATCAACAACTTCATGGATATATGATCTGACAAATTATGAAAAAAAAGAGAATTTTGTATTATTTCATCATTCTTGTCATCTCTTATCGAATCTTTCATTAACATTTTACCAATTAACTGAAACTCTTTTCTACTCATATTACTATTATTATTATTCTATGAGTTCTTTGCTTTTGCTAGATGAATTCTAGAATGTCATTGACACCTTCTATCTTCTTATTTAATTAAGGTCGTTCACCTATGGATCAATCATTATCTTGTGATTTCGATAATTCACTAATGCCTTTATGCAATTGGCAACATGATTTAAATGATTGGCGTGGACGATGGAAACTTTGGAAATCACCACATAACAATAATAATAACAATAATAATAATCCTTATGATATTCGTAGCATAAATGACAGACATTTATGCCTACAACTTGATAAAGAAGATTCCAGTGATGATGAATCGACAGAATCTATAAGTTTAACTGTTCGTCTATGGAGTCAGTTAATACGTATAAAGAAATTATCTGAAGAAGTCAAGCCTAAGTGTTTAAGTCTATCGTATCAGTTAGATACTGGTTCATCATTAGTACAGAAGTCAGTTGATCATAAAGTTAATTTCATCACTGGAAAAGATCAATCAAAGCTTCAGTTATCTGTATTAATGCGCCGTGAAGGGTGAGACTATTTAGCTTATATGGATACGGTTTTGTTCACCCTTATTCATTCATTGGTTCTGGTCTATCCTTCTTTTACCCCTACGTACTCTTAATAACTGTATGTTCTACTCAATTCTTAGTTTCTTCTAAGCTATTCTTCAATATAAATCGACAGAAGTATCTGCGTAGAGTTCATTTCATCACTACAGTAGCAGCTTGGTTATCAATACGTCCAGTGTCCCTTCATATAATTATGTGTATTCCTGTTTTTTCGTATAACCAATTGACATCGTCATAAGTTTTTACGTATCAATCTTTCTTCAGCTGCAAATTTCGGTCAATCAATGGTTACTCATAGTCGCTTTCTTCCATCAACACTGGATTGCAACTTTACAGATTCATCTATGTGTAAATGGTCTAATGACCAAAATAATTGGCCTGTCAATTGGGAATTAGACATGGAGAAAGATTTGTCGCCAGCTGTTCATCAAGAAAATCCAGGATCTGTTTGTTTATATTCGACTGAATTGCCACAACAAATGGATATAAGCTCTAGACTTTTTAGTCCTTTAATGAGTGCTGCTTCAAATGTCTTTTGTTTAAAATTAGTCTATAAAATCACAATGTCTAGGCATCCGTTATCGACCTCAGTTGATCAGATATCAGATACCTTACCCAAATTGGCATTATTACGTCGTCAAATGGGGTAAGACTAGTTGATTAATTGGAGTCTTGGAAAAGTATAAAAAAAATAATATCAACAGGGCTATTCATCTTATTATTCTTATTTACTCTACAACTGTTTTAAAAGAAAGCTTTCATCAGTCACAATCTATTTTCTGTAATTGTTAACTACGTCGTCATACAAAATCTACTCCCAACTAACTGATTACTAATAAGCATATATCCACTTCACCGTGTTTTCAGCTATTCAGCCACAAAGTGAATCATTGGATGGTGCTGCTGACAAAAGTATGAATTTGAATTGTGAATTTGATGAATCTACATGTAACTGG